ACACTCCAGTCTTAAAATTCGCTACGCGATAGTTCCTGCGCGATAGTTCTAAATTAATGCCTGCAGTTAACATATTTAAATAAATAATATATAATCTTATAATATAATATAATTTAAAAATAAATTATTTTTTATATTTAAATATTTATAAGTTAATTTAAATTTGACTTGAAATTTGATTTGAATTTGATTCAACTTGAATAAATTCAAGTCAAAATCAAGTTGAGTTAAAATTAAGTCAAGTCAAATTGAGTTGAGTTTAAATTTATATAATTTAAATCAAGTCAAATTGAAAGATTTATAAAATAAACTTGACTCAACTCAACTTGAAAAAAGAGAATCGAATAGAATTAACCTTTAAATTTGACTCAATTCAACTTATTCAGAACTCTATAATAGATCAAATAAATATTCAAAACAACCTAATTTATAGTTTAATTAATAATCCTAACCTATTATCTTTTGCTATTCATAATATAAGAAATTGTTCTTTAGAAATCAAATTACAATAAATTAAAACCTTTTTTACTAATTTTAATTTAGATATCTTAGACTAAGTGAAACCTATCTATAACAATGTTACAAACAATGTCATTTAACAAAAACCTATACAATAAACCTTATAAATTCATTTCCTATAATATTAACTATTCATAAAACTATTAGAGTATTTGTTTTATTATAAAAGACTTACATTTTTAATCAACGTTATTTTTTGTTAATTTATAAATTAAGAATCTTTTAAGTTTATTTTCTAATCACGTTTAATGATAAAGAGTCTTTCAAATATAGAATTTATATCCAAAACAAACTTATAGAACTATTGGTATAATCAAAACGTTCTCTAACTTTCATATAATACTAATGGGTGATTTTAACTTAGATATAATTAATTATTAATTTTATATAAAACAATGCGATATGTATTATAAAAATTGCAAGTTTCAAATGTCCGCTATGCTATGTAATACAATATATGCAGGTCTAACATTTGCAGCACAGGCTTTATGCGCGCCACATATTTCTGTATGAAAATGTCCTTTTCTCAGGTCTTTCTTTCCAATTCACTTCGTTACTCGTCGAATTCAATGCCTTCATCATCTTTGTTTCAATTGCCATTTTCAAGAACTCTGAGAACTCTGAAGTCTTGGAAGGATTTACGCCAGGAAAATGAACTTTTGAAAAATAAATTAAAAGCAGTACAAAAAGAGGCCGAATTACAACGTAAGAACTGGTGCAACTCATAACTTACGAAAATCGTTCTTATGCGTATTTTTTACTTCCCTCTATCCTTACCAAGAAATTTTCATATCAGACTAATCCTTTTTTCGGTACTATCACAGATGGAACCGCTACTCTCTTTATAGTCGAAAAAATTCCAATAGTATTTGATAGTTTTAAAGAGATTGTGGGTCAGGGTTCCACTATAATCGACAAAACACTTCTTATTTCTGAGTTCATTGAATGCAATGAGGTAGTCTCCCTTGTTGTTCGTCCAAGTACTGACCTAATAAATGATTGGATTGGCCAATGCAGGGCAATGATGAATTTGGAGAAGGCCTTCCTTGTTGGCATTGCTAAACTCTCAGAATTTAAGGAAAAACTCTAAATTTATTATGAATGCTCTATCCTATCATGATGTTTCGGATAATCTAGTGGAATCCAATTATCATCTCTTCATACTTGGCGTGTTTCATCAAGCACATTGCCGTGGTTATAAATTAACGTCAAATAGAGAAGCTGGTGAAGGACGATTTGACTTAAAAATTGAACAAACAGAGAAAGCGAATTTTAAGACTGGAGTTATATGGAGTTTAAGGTGGTAAAATGAGAAACTTCAGAATAAAGCCTCAATTTACGCTTCTTGATCAAGTCTCAAAAACCGTCAAGATTTCCCATTGGCAAAAAGTATCATACAACGATCAATAATATTCAAAGGTCCAACAGATTCCTCGGTAGAATGAATTTAATCAACGGACCA